TGTTTTGTTTTCCCCCCAGGCTGTACCTGAGTATCTGAGTTTCTGAGTTTCAAGAAGAATTTAGTTCAGCTTCTGCCACCCCGAGTTGTTCAAGAATTGCATATCTCTTTGTATGTAGTTTAGTTGGTTTGTAAGAAATTTTATCTGCATTCTGTTGATAGGAAAAGAATGTATAGAATGGATGTAAGAATGATTGTTTGGTTAAGATTAATATTTTATTGTGCATCTATTCGGAGTTGTTAGTCAAAGTTCAGGTCAAAGGAAAGAAAGACGTTGACCACTGACTTCGTAGTTAGTCAGGGTCTGTGGTCGGCGCGACTCGTTCTAGGACTAGTAAGTGTTTGGGACGGGTCGTGTCAAGTGGTTTTTTTATACGGGTGAGGTTTGTTAACGAAACCAATCCTTACGATTGATCTTAAGTCTCGAATCCATAATAAAAAAATATAAAATTAAATATACAACACAAGATTCGTTCCATTTAACAAAAAAAAATATTTTTTTTTTGCCTAGAACCATCTCGAATCAAGATGACCATCATTCTACCTTTCATCTCGGTGCGTATTGAACTGGGATGAAAGGCATAATGATGACTATCTTGATCTGAGATGATCAAGATGGCCATCATTCTGCCTTCCATCCTTGCTCGATACAAAGCGAGAATACAGACTTGGGATGAAAGGCAAATATCAACCAATATTGATCTTGGATTCTGCAAGCCAACAAACAATCCTGGATGCAAGCACCCTCTTCAATCTGACCGAAACAATCCGGGATCGAATCCGAGCTTGCATCCAAGATTGAATCCTAGGTAAAGCTTGCAAAAACATGCAAACCCCCAACATTCAACGGATATCACACAACAAATAACTTAGCTGCTTTAGATAACGTTGAAAATTAAAACCTAACGAAAAAACAACAAAAATTTTCATGGGAAATTTAAGTATATTAACCTCAACGCAGCCGAAGGTTTTCATTAAAGAACGATGTGAGATTGATGACTCCAAGATAGAGGAAGTACGGAAGTGTGAGAAGTGTGGTAGTTTGAGTTGGCGACAGATGAGCATGAGATAGAGTCCGAGATAGGAAGGGGAATCGTTGGATTTTTTAAAAATTGATGATGATATGGTAATTCACATTTGCAAAAGATGAAAAGGGTCACAAATAACTATAGAAGGGTCACAAATAAGTGTTAGAAAAAAGGTAAAAGATCTAAATGGAATTATGGAGGGTAGAAAATTCCAACTTTCTATTTATTATACATTTAATTTCAATTTTAATTGTATTCACATGAAGTATATTTTTTTTACATAAATAAATTTTAATATACTGGTGAGCAACACGTAACATGCACATCAACTTTATCGTTTTATTACTATTACTTAAAAGCAATTTTGTCATTCAAATATAAATCTCTTCCTCAATTTCTATAAAAAACTATCTCTCTTCCTAAACCTTCATCAAATTCTCTCTTCATCCCACCTCTCTAATTCTCTCCTATCTCTCGACCTTTATAAACATCATTAATTTTTTGGGATAATTTTAGTTCCAAATATATTTTCTATCACCATACAAAGAATTTCATTAATACATAGATTCAAAATGGTAATATTAGGCATTTGATTTCCTTGAAAACCATAATTAACATAAAAATTAGTATTGGAGAATAAAAATTGATTGATGATGGCGGTCCTTGAGCAGTCAAAAACTCCTGCCATTCATCTCTACTATATATAAAAAGAAAATAGGGAGAGACTTTTTCTCCCTAATTTGTCATTTTATTCTAATTTTTTCCACTATGCCTTCAAATACAAATCTCTCTCTCATCCCTATGGTCTCTCGAAATGCTCCCTCTCTCTAACCCACCTTCCCATCCCACTAATTCACTCTATCTACTTACTCTCAATTTAATTTCTCAAGAATTATTGAATCGTTAAAAGAATGAGTTAATTATTTTTTATGATAGGTTAATTATTGAGTAACAATGAAGGGTTAATTATTGAGAACAATGAAGGTTTAATTATTTTGTTATTGTGTACTAAAAGAAAAAATTATTTCGTTATTGTGTACTAAATAAAATTATTTTTATTATTTAATAATACCAAAGTTAGAATACTACGTAAAGTTTTATCTTTATTTCTATTATTTACATGCATCACACGTGTTTTTTACTATAGTAGTTATTAAGGGTCATAATTTAAATAAAGAATACTGAATTCAGACTTCTACATAAATGCATACTTCATAAATAACAAGAAAAACAATACACAACAAYTAGAATACTAATAAGAGATGAAAGAAACTATATTATAAAAAAAAATAAACTCTAAATTAAGACCAAGCGAGTTCTTCGCGATATCGAGTGAAACTAAATAATTCTTGATTTACAATTTGCAATATCCAAAGTGTACAATGTCAAGCTTTTAACAATATTAATGGAAAAAAAAAGTTATCATCCTCTCGGATTAGGCCGGTAAAAATTTTAGGTAACTGTAAATGGCTGATTGATCCTAACCTTATCAAATTTAAAAGATTCTGAAATTTAAACTGAAAAGATAAAAGAAGAAAAAAATATTCTGTAGATTTAATAAATATGGTTTCACTTAATTGTTTTGTAAAATGATACCAAATAGTTATCCTTCAATTATTCTCTCTTGAGTAAGTTAGGCTTAATCTTTAATTCAATTTCAAGATCTCTATTTAGAATTAAAAACAAACTCTTCATGCTCCTTGTAGGATTTTGTAGGTCTCCTTACTCAGCCAAACCCTCTATGTTGAAGTATTAAGACGTAGCCTAAATTCTTTTCGCTCGAGGGTTGGAATCTAAGGCTTAAAATCAACTCCCATATGAGGGAAAAGGAAGCATTAGATAAAGAATTCGAAACAGAATTGTTGTTGAAAATGCACTCTCACTTCTTGAATTCAAAAATTACAAAGTAATGACTATAAATACTTGCACGAATAAACAACAGAAAAGAAAACAAATGACCTTAACGGCTAGACAATTAAGAGAGCATAATTCTGATACGCTAGAGAAGGAAAGTATCCTGCCCATGCATGTTTTGATTACAGCCCCAACATAAAGACAATATAAAAGGTAAGAGAGTAATAGAAATAATTTATACAAGGAAATAAATAAAAGCTCCAACCCACTACCTTAATGTTTTGTTATGCCTCTGTTTGGTAAGTCAATAATTGAGAAATATGGCTAGTAGTTGGCTTGAAATCTTCATGAAAATACTTCATCTTAATGACCAAAGATAAATAGCGAAATAAGTGTTGTCATAGTGTCATGACAAAACGGCTAAATAGTGTATCTCATACAGTCCTAGTTTGTTCCTCAAGTCTTTGAAATTCGTCTTTGGAGAGAGCCCTGGTAAAGATGTCAACAACTTGTTTCATTGTGGGTCCGAATTTAGTGACGACTTTTTCCCTCACAAAATAATAATCCACTTCAATATGCTTTGTTCTACTAAGAAAAACTGGACTTTTGGCTATGTGAATAGCATTAACATTGTCACACATGAGTTGGGGAGGTTTAAGTATTTTGATTCCAATATCTCTTAATAGAAACATGATCCATATGAGATCAGTTATAGTTGATGTCGTGGTTCTATACTCGACTTCTAAGCTTGATCTGGCTCCTGTAGTTTGTTTATTTGAGCTCCATGATATGCAATTCGCTCCTAGGCATATGCACGAGCTTGATTTGCGTCTTCTAGGGTAGGGGCAACCTACCCAATTTGCATCAGAAAAACCATAGAGATTTAGAGAGCCATCTTTGTAAAAGATTAGACCGTGCCCTTGATATATCTCAATATGCGTTTGACTGCTTTTCGATTGTCTTGGATCTTGTAGACTTTGAAAAACTCTATTTACAGCAAAGGTTATGTCTGGTCTTGTAAGGGTTAGATATTGAAGGGATCCCACGATGTTTTTATATTCCTTTTGATCGATAACATCATTGTCATCTGTGGTTCAGTGTTTGTGGCAACAGCTGGTGTACTAAGATGAGATGCTTCTAATATTCTAACTTTATGGAGAAGGTCTTTAGCATACTTGGAATGCAATATGGAGATGTTTATTGGTGCGTGTAATACTTCTATGTCCAAAGAATAGTGTAGTTGCCTTAGATCTTTCGTAGCAAATTTTATACTTAGTTGATGGATTAGACCTTCCATGTATTCTGTTTCATTTCTTGGCATAATTATGTCATCAACATATACAAGCATTAAAATTAGAGAGGATTTATTCTTAAAAATAAATAGTGAAGGATCAGAGTAAGGATTAGTGAAGCCTATATGCAAATCAAATTGTGATAGTCTTTCAAACCATGCTCTTGGTGCAGCCTGTATTCAAATCAAATTGTGATAGTCTTTCAAAGCATGCTCTTGGCGCTTGCTTTAGTTCATATAAGGATTGGTTGAGTATGCAAACTAGGTAAGGTTTGTTTGGGTGTTGAAAGCTAGGTGGTTGGGTCATGTACACATCTTTCTTCAGGTAGCCATAGAGGAAGGCGGTTTTGACATCTAGTTGTCTTAGGCTCCATCCAAAGTAAACACCCACTGCAAGTATGAGTCTAATTGTTGTTGGCTTCACTACTGGACTAAATATTTCATTACAGTCCAATCCTTCTATTTGAGAGTATCCTTGAGCCACCAATCTTGCTTTGTATCTTTGAATGTTGCCATCTTCCTTTAGTTTCATTTTAAAGATCCATTTGGAGCCTAATGTGTGTTCGGAAAAAATATAAATTAATCGATCCTCCTGTAACTTCTTCAAACATGAACTATTTGACTTTCCCTTTCCACAGGCTAAAAGCAGATAAGTAAGTAACAATAACAAAGAAATAAGAGATAGGGATAAAAAAGCTTAACACCATAGAGATTATACTGGTTCGTCCCTATCTTGGGATTACATCTAGTCTTTGCGAAAAAACAGGTTCAAATATAGTTGGGAATATTACAATGGAGATCTCACTCAAGATATTACTATTTTACTTCTAAGTACCCTAACAATGGCTACCTATGATTACATAATTGAAAATGCCCTCACTAAACCCACGGAGATACAAACTCTTTTTTTCACACACTGCCCATAACCACTCAAGTCTCTCTTATTTGGATTATGTACAAATGAAACCTTAACAAAAGGGTTCTATATATAAGAGGTCAAATATCCCAATCTTTATAGGAAAACAATATTGTAATCTTTATAAGACAATAATA